ACTTGTCTTACTGTAATAATCTTCTTACAGTCTAGTCTACCTCAAATGAACAGTATAATCTAAATGCATACTTGTCTGCAAAGGAAAATGAAAAGTCAGAGACCTCTTCCTCAGCCAAGTTTTTTACCCTTTGTAATTTTTCTGAGAAAAAATGTGGAAATGTCTCTAATACATGAAATTTTTATAAAACAGAACAAAAAATATATGCATGTTAAAGAACGTCAAATAATAATTGTGTTTCAGTCTTCTGTTATCATGTATTTTGCCGGAGTTGTTATTATGGACTCATTGTTTGAAATTTGGAGTGTTTATGAATCTCAGGAAATAGAATTACTTTTCTACGCTTTTTGCTTGTGGGAGAAAATTCGTGACTTCTTGTGGTTTAAGCCCAGCTGGCAACTAAGCACCACTCCAGATACCTCCCACCTCCCACTGAAATGGGGAGGAGAATCAAAAGTAAAACTTGTAGGTTGAGATAAGAACAGTTTAATAATTGAAACAAAGTAAGATAATAATAAAAATAAATTAAAAATATAAATAGAGAGATAAACCCCAAGAAAAACAAGTGATGCACAACACAGTTGCTCACCACCCACTGACAGTTGCCAAACGCCATTCCCCTGGGTTGGGGTTAGGTTGGGTGAGTGTGTAAAGGGCTGTGTGGTACTTAGTTGTCAACAGGGCTTAAACCACAACAGTTCTTTTTGGTGCCCTGTGTGGAGTTGATGTGCCGGGCCCTCAAATCTACACAGTTCAGTGAACCTGGTTATCCCTCTCCTCCACCTGACTGGAGACAAGGTCTCTCTAATGCTGATCACGTGGTTCCACATTTCCTTCTTGTAGAAATGGACTAGAACTTGTTTCCACAGAGTCAGGAGTATAATGAGCCCTTTCATTCTGCTTGGGAAACTGTCCACTGGAGACTGGAGCAAAAATCTGTGATTTCTTTTCCCTGCCATTCCCACACTCATGCCTCTAGAGTTGGGGTATGTTTTCAATGCTATTTCCTCATGTCCTCTCTGAGGTCCCCCTTAAACCTCGACACTTGTTCTTAATCCTCTTCCCTTCCTTTCCTTTCCCCTCTCTTCTCCACCTTCTTCCCCTTCCTGTTTCCTTTCCCTTTGCCCTATTTTCCTTTAGTATAGCATTTGCCTATGCTAATTTATTCTAAAATATAACATCTGCCAACAGTTTTATGCTAATCAAAATTTTTAGAGCTTTGACTCGTCGGAGAGGCGATGTTCATGAACAGATGTCTTTGTGCCTTCTCTGGACAAGTTATTTTTTAATTATTTCATGGTGTTCTCTGTATTTCTTTCACAATTACTGATTTGCATTTAGCTCTGAATAGAGTGCTTTTCGTGGAATACCATCTTTTCATGTAATACTTCCCACAATACTAATTTCTTTGATTATGTATCTGATGAACGAGCTGATTAAATAGTTTAATTTTTTGATAAAATTTATTTGTTAAATTTACATAGAGACAATGAGGTCTATTATTTCTTTGGAAAGAAGAACACAGGAATGGCAATGAAAGTAGACAGTAGTGAGATAAGTAGGATGAGGCTTGATGTTTTAAGACATCTGAATATATTCAAATCAAAAAATTTGCAAATACAGTTATCTATTAACACTTAATTTCAATCTATTTCCCAGTTCTCCTTTTTTTTTTTTTTCTTTTTCACCAGCTTCTGAGTTTTTAGGTAATGTTCTTTGGCATAAAATTGTTTCAGTTGCTAAGCTTGGAACATGTATACACTTGAGATATTTCAGTCTACATAATATTGAGGTTGAGTTAGCACACAGAATACTCTAAGTATGCTTCACTCACTTATAACACCTGGGGGAGGACTCTCTTGCAAATTCCACATTTTCCTCCCATATTAATTGTACAGTGCTCCATAATTCTAAGACTAAGGCTTGTGTAGTTGACCATGATGTAGTGTAGGGTAGGGGTTTTGGTTTTTTTCCATACCAGTGTAATTTCTTCAGTCCTTATTTAAATTTGAATGTTAATTTAATCCATGATGAAACAGGAATCTTCTCTTCTGGATCATATTTTATGCTCTTTTTCTTTTAAAGTAAATCCCTTGGATTTCCTTCAGGTCCCCTTGTGTTATGTAAGGTCAGCAGTTGCAGCCAACAGCTCCATCAGCTAAACCAAGAAAGTTTGTGTTTTGGCCTTCATTTAGCATGAAGACAGAAATATGTAAAACTGCCATATACTTAAATTGCTATTATTTCTAGTAGTTAAGATGTTAACAAAGTCCTGTCTTGGATTTTATTTTTCTTCTACTTCTACAAAGGAATTTCTACTTCTCATGAAAAGTCATCTTGTGATTCACATTCAGTATCTGCAGTCCTTCCTCTATCCTATACTCTCTCTTGTTTCCCCCATCTCTTCCATCATTGTGGTTTTGAAGAAGAAAAAATAAATGGGAACCAACAATTCAGCATGCAGCTGCTTTGGGCATTTTTTAAAATTAGGTTTTGGATAAATTTTTAATATAGCACAAGTAACAAATCAACATGCAAGGGAGAGTCTTCTGAACATTTTCATTCCTCAGTAGGTAAAGGGTGATGGGTAAAACCTAAAAAAGTTTTTTAAAAGGTTATTTTCAACAGGAATGTATAACAAGCAACTAGGCATTTGTTTGGCAAGCCATTAACTAACCATGCTTGGTTTTCAAGTTTTGAGTTTTCAAAGGTTTGAGTTGACAAACACTTTTCAATGACACAATAAATTTGTCTGATGCAACTTTGAGACCTTTGTATCTGAAGACTTACTGCAATTTTGATCCACAGAAGACATTCAATCTACCTGAGAAAGAAGACTTAATTACCTTGTTGCCAGAAAAATAGCAACCTTCTTCAGGTTTAGGATGATATGTGTTGCAGCAGTGTAAGGTGTCTTAAGGTATTTTTAGTTGTGATTATTTTCTTTCTAAAAGCTTCACCAAAAAAACCATATTATTTGTTAAGCAGACTTTTTTGACTGTCTAGGTTGATTTCAACATAAATTTTATGAATAGCTTAAACGCTGCAAAAAGGAAGAAAGACAGAGATGCAGGCATTACAAAGGCTAGTTCTGTTTTTCCTGTGTGATACAAACCAATATAATTATATTCTATTATCAATACGTCATTGTGCTCAAATTCCCAGGGAGAGTCAGCAACGTTATGGGCACAACTCTTTCATGGTGTAACAAAAGAAGGGCCTATTGTTGTCTTATAGTGCTCCTTTAGAGTGCACAGATCTTGTGTTTCCCCTCTGCAAAAGTGACTTTTGTTCTGCAAGACACAATAAGGTCTCTCTGATTCAGTTGTATGTTTTAGTGTTAAATTTGTCCAACAACTTCAGGAATTCTGTACATGACTTGCATAATGGCACACAATTTTCCACACCATAATTTAAAACATTTTTATAAAGCTATTTCTCATACTAAATGTGAGGCAGCAAATAGAGTTGCTGAGTGTTATTACTTAAATAATTTGAGATGTTGAGCAGTCCAAGTAAATAATATGTGAATCTATTCAGTATTGGTTTTCAGATATTTTGGGTAATAGAGTGGCAGCATGTGTATTAACTAGAAATTACCTTAGTTGGAATGAGTTGTGCATGGCGTAAAAACTGGCTAGAAAATAGGGATTCCCAGTGCTGTAGAAAATTTGTGATGTTTTGGATTTGTTTCTTCCATGAAACAGAAACAAGACCTTACTAAAAAAATGAAAGAAGGATTGAAAGAAGCTCTTGCTTAGAAGAACAGTCTGAAAGAAAGGAGAATGGAGTCATGGCAGAACAGCTAATAGCACTGAAGTCTGTGCTGTACTCATAAATTTGTATTGATTGGGGAAAAAAATTGATTTAGCACTGAAAACTGTCCTTAATTCTGTCCCCTGTTTAAGAAACCTTCCAAAAGAATTGGTACTTTCTAATAAAATGTGTTTTTCAGAAAATTCCCAGCTAGCTCTAATGAGTGTAGCAGTGAGTAGCAGAACAACACTGCTGACAAGAAAGCAAATGTTTTCTGTGTAATATGGATTCCCAATTCTACATTGCTCTGTGGTAAAAGTGGAAGATGTGCAATGTAGGTCAGCACAGTGTCAATTCTAGCAAATTAAAGTACAGATGCTTCCTCTCAAATCAATCAAAGCATCTGTCAAACTTCACAAATTAGAAATAATGTGGACATGTGAATCTACTTGGCACTGCAAAAAATAATCACTGTTTTTTATAGTGGTTCTCAATAGCTCTCATACATACAAAACCACTTCAAAATTGATGGGTGCTCATAAAACTCGTGCAGTGATTAAACTATAAAAAAATTATATTTCTATATTTTTAATGCACTAGTCAAAGCATCAGATCATAAACTTAGCTTGAGCTTTAGAAAGAGTGAATAATTTTTTATCACTGTCATGTGGGGAAAAATCTCAAATATTTCCTTCATCTTTCACTGATGGTGTGGACAAAGTATAAGATGCCTTTTAGCCAGTTACAGCAGTGAGGCTCTGATTCAGTACAATTCCAAGTATGTCCTATTAACATAGATATGTTTCTTAGATCTTTAGTAGACTAAGCCTAAGACTTGTCTCCCTCTGTGTAATTCCAAGTTTGTTTCTGTCCCATGAAGGAGCACTTACTAGACACTCAATTTGGTATCACTTCCTGTGTGTTTGGGGTATTTTTGTTTCTTTCCCATTTCTTTTTTTTACAAATTATTTTTCCAAATTTTTTTTCCTGATTTGCACCTTTATTGCCAAGTCTAATTTGTGTTCTAGCATTATTAGTATTCAGTTCTGCTTTATTTGTTCGAAGTAATGGTATGTACTTGAAATAAGGTAAGCACATCTCTCTTAAGCATTAGAACCCTGTTAAAACCAATGTATCTGAAAGAATCCTAAGAGTTTAGTTGTACTTTCCTCTTTTACTCTGTGTCATACATAATTTTTTTTTTTTTGATGCTCTAACTAACTAGACCTATTGTTTCATTTCAGTTTGGAAGACGTTACATTGAAGACCTTTTTAATGATTTTCGAGATGGACGAAGACTTCTGGAGCTCCTGGAATACCTTACAGGCCAAAAAATTGTATGTGTTTTTTAACACATTGACTGTATATTGAAGCCCTGATGTTATGATAAGTGTAGTAGGTGATATTCATTAATTTCTGCCATTGATGAGGACCCATGGAAACTATTTTTAGGGATCTGAATGTGTTTGACTTCCTTCTGAAATTGAGAAAACATTGTGACTGAGAGCCGTATTAGCCAGTAGCCCTTTGCTAGGCATATATTTGAAATGAAAATATTCTACTTTGTTCTTTGCACTTATTAAGGAAGTAGGGCAAAGAGAAACAAGACTGAGGCAAGGTTCATTTAAATATCTAGATTTTAGATGGAATAACATTTAATGTGTAGAATTAGAATGTTTTGTTAATAAATTTCATGCATACAGTCTATGTGTGGGAGTTGTACTTGCCTGAAAAGACAGAACAGCTTGCTCTTATCAACTTGGAAACTCTAAAATGACATGTCACACATATTTCTGAATCTCCTCTCTTGTGTTCCTGGTTGGACTTGGTAAGCTTAGCATCTTTCTCTGAAACTTTCTCATTAAAAAGTAGTGAAGCAGGCTGGAGTTTGAGAATTAAAATCCAGAGATAATATATTTGTAAATAAATATTAAACAGACTGATGATTATCTGTTTAGTTGCCATAGTAATGATCCTAAATTGCCATGCAGAATACAACTAATCATGATAAATAGAATCTGAAATTATCTGATTTTATATTCATTTCAATGATTCATTCACTGAAAATTGTCAAGGTACCAAATTACCTTCTAAATGTGGATCCAGTTTGTTTCACAATTAACTCTATTCCATGTTGGGAAGCTGCATAAGCCCAATGTATGGTAATCATGGCTAGGCTTCGTGAACGAAGATTTAGGAAGGCTCTATCCACTTTGTTACAAGCACGCTGGTGGTTAATAAGGCCAATGTGAGATAGACATGTCCGATTGCAAAAGGTACATTAGAAAGACTCCTTAGGAGGTATATTCTGCAAGACACGATTCTTTCTGCATTGTCTTTTCTCCTCAAAAGTGATCCTGCGTGCATTCTCAAAAGTATCAGCAGCGTTATAGATGGTGTGTCTCCAGGCCTCCCGATTGGAGGACAGAGGAGACCAGTTATGGTGATCAATATGGCCAAGGCTGAGATGTTGTTTCAGGGAGTCCTTGTATCTTTTCTTTGGGGCTCCTCTCTTGCAGCAGCTGGTGGCAAGTTCACCATAAAGCAAGATCTTAGGGAGGCGGTGGTCCTTCATCCTGGAGACGTACCCTGCCCATCGCAGCTGTGTTCTCATCAGCATGGCCTCAATACTTGTGACTGCTGCTTGTTCTAGAACAGATGTATTGGTCACATAATCTGACCAGTGAATGTTTAGGATTGTACGGAGGCAGCGTTGATGGAAGCGTTCTAAGAGATGCAGGTGACGGCAGAAGATGACCCATGATTCAGAACCATATAAAAGATTTGAGATACCTGTAATGTACTCGATTTTGATTTTGGACAGTCAAAGTTCTTTTACTTTCTTTGTAGGCAAAAGAAAAGGGCTCCACAAGAGTTCATGCTCTGAACAATGTCAACAAAGCACTCCAGGTTTTGCAGAGAAATAACGTAAGTATTCAGCCAGATAGGCTCAGAGCATCCTATAGACAGCATACAAAATATTTTGTAGATGTTAAATCAAATTTTGGTTTATAGTATACAAATACTGGAGTCAAGGCAGTTTTATTAATGTGACTTGGATACTTTGTCATTCGGCATCAGGGGTGAATGTATTTTAAAGAGTTTAAAATCCTCTTCCAGCAAATTTTGAATAATACATCTATAGTGGATGATACCTGAAGATAGATCAACATGCATGTTGCATTATGCTAATGCATGGTGTTTAAAATAGATTTTTAAAAGTTAATTACTAGAAGTCATCCATAACTGGTTACAAGGTGCTATCTATCAAAATCCCTACTCACAACCTCTGACACTTTTGAAGTCTGAAAAACCAAGGCTTTTATGAGAATAAATTTTTTTGGTAAATTTTCAGAGGTTCTTCATGGTTCAAAACATTAATCATATCAAACCCACTTTCAATTCTACTTTGTGAAGATTGACTTTTCAAGCCAGTATCCTGTGCATCATTATTGAATAAACATCCTCATAGTATCTTCCTTATGCCAGTATTCTAATGGACCCATAACTTCAGCAGACATTTCCAGTGACCAACTAATTTTATCATATATCCTTCTCAAGAATAAATTCAAATAAACTATAACACTCACTTAAACTTAACAGTAAGAGGTGACAGAACAAAGATAATGTATTCTGTGCTGCCTATTATATTGGATTTCTTGATAGCTGCAGTAGGTCACTAAACATGCTTGAGTTCAACTGCTGAATAAAGCTATTTACTTTATAAATCTAAGATAATCCATCTAAAGATTTGTGCATAAATGAAAGTGACCTTATAATATTGGCATAAAGACTCCCACTTGATTTTTCTTTTTATTTAGTGGAATTTCATGTAAATAAATGGAAGAAAAAGCTTCTAATTATTCAAAATCTGCAACATCTGACCTTATTGGGAAAAAATCATCAATGCATTATTTCACAGTATACAAGAAGGTGTTGACTGCATACCTGGTTACAAATGTTCACAGCAAATGCTTTTTGAAGTATTCAATACATACCGTCTAAGTCCATTAACGTGCTATTCATTCATTTTCTGGAACACAATAGTAGTCCCTCTCAAATATGGGAAGAAAACAGAGAGTATTCCAATTTTAGAAGATAGAAGAAAAAGTATCGTTTTAGAAAGTGAAGTGGTCATCCAGGGGCCATCATATTCATATAATAAAACCCTCATAAACTGCACACAATATAAAAAGTAGCATAGTATATGTAGAGATATACTTCATACTTATTATCATGAAGCCAAAAGTTTCCTTAACCTTCAAAAGCTTGATGAATGATTTCTATGGGACTTCAGGAAGGCAAAATCAATGGCTCTAAAGCTAATTAAAGCCTGTGAGTAATCTAGATTTTTTTTTGCTGGTATGTGCTATTCTTGCTCTGAGGTTCTGCTGTCATCCGGGTGGTAACACTGAAAAATGCTGCTGCTTCCACTAAACGTATTTTACAGGTTTTTTTGTTTCTATAGAAAGGTGAGAGTGTTGTGGGGGTAATGTAGGGGACATGGGGGTTGCCCCAATATAGGTTTAGGTTAAGTTCCTTAAGATCCATTTGGAAAATGTTCTAAGACACTGTTGGTTAGAATGAATTCCAGTCTCATATGTTTTTAGTACAAAATGTGCAATTCTTAAAGAAAAGAGCTCTAAGAGAGTTTTAGAGTTCTTGACAAAATATCTACCTGGTATGGATTCATAAAAATAACCTATACACAGATGTATTGAAATAATAATAATTAAAAAAAAAAAGGCAGCTTATTTTGGGGGTGCAAAATCTTAAGTGCAAAAGCAATCTACAGATACAACTTTGTAACTTCAAAAAACTTCATCAGCTCAGCAGAGATATGCAGATTGTAGTTTGTGAAGGAATGCGGTACTTTTCCATATAAACATCAGTTCTGACCATGAAAAATGGCTTCTGTGAAACAGCGAGGATGCAAATTTTAGAATCATAGTTCTATCCAAAAGTGCAGGACTTAGCTTATATTGTCTTGCACTCACATCCCTGGATTTGGCTTTTTTATTTAGATAGCATGAAAAATGGGGGAGAGTGAAGGATCATTTCAGATGTGCAGGAAAGAGTATTCTAGAGTGGTAGATGCATTATGAAACTGCAAATGCAGGATATAATTATGGAAAACAACATTACTGGATGAACTAATGTGTAAAAGACTTGCTTAGATGACGATCACTGTTTTATCTGTATTCCAGAACACAACCTGCCTTTCCTTATACTTTATAGATATTAATTAAGGACAATTTAAGTTCTATTTTAATCTAGATGTGTAGAACAATATCTTGAGTTTGTAGGTTCTTACTCTGTCTATATGTGTATGTGTGAATTTCAGAAAATTATATTATGTAAGGTAGCATGAAGTATAGTACAGGAGTTTTTCTGTCTCCCATCAGTTTTGTGATTTGTAGTTGTAGAGGCTTAATATAAAAGAGTTCAAGTTACTATTAACTGTTACTTTTAATTCTGTGTTTTCACAACATGCTATAACTGGAATAATTGGAACTCCAGATCACTGATGGCTTTTTTCCAGAACATTAATTGTGCCATTTGTAAAACACGAGTTTTATCTTTATGGAACAACAGAAGCCAAATGGAATGTTTACCCTAACCCATCCCTCCCTCTCCCTCCAACCTGTTATGCTTGTTATTTTTCTTATACAATTATTTTTGGTTTCTCTAATAGGTTGATTTGGTAAATATAGGGAGCTCAGACATTGTGGATGGAAATCATAAGCTGACCCTTGGTTTGATCTGGAATATAATCCTCCACTGGCAGGTGAGTGGCATTGCTCCTTACTTTCCATGAAGTACTTTTATTCCACTGATCTTGTTCCCATTATTACCCAGCAACAACTTACAAAGTAAACATAGACATTGCAATGTGCTAAATCAGCAAGTTTTATGGCAGTCTGTTTACATATCATCTAGGATATTAAGAATATTAAGAAGATAAAATAGTTTTTAGAGCATTAGCAGAAGCTCTTTTGACTGTAATTTCACCATCAGATATTGCAAAATTATATATATAACAGTTATCAAAAGAAAAAATGGATAGACAAAACCAATATAGCTTTCATAGTCACTTTTCTTTTTAGTATCTTAGAAAGAGTGACTTTTATATTTTAATAAAATAATCACATTTGTTGCTTTTTGCTGCTGACCCATCCTGCCAAGAATTATTTTTAGAACACTAAAAAGCTGCAAGGCTGCTAATTTATTGAAGCAGATGTGGCTCATTTAGCTTCCTTTGTCTTTAGAGAGAAAGGGGTGATTATGATGCGGATCTTGTAAAAAACATTATGGTAGACGAGGACACTTGAGTAAACAAATTCTGAGACAGCAGCAAAAACAAAATTCAAAAAGAACTAGCATCTAGATGCTTTGTGTCTGTATATATCTATGAATTTGGACTAAGAGTGTGTCCATTCATGTCCAAGCAATAAGCTACGAGTTTTTCATAGTATTACAAGAAAAGATGGCAGGAAACAAAGTCTAGAAGACTTTATATTAAAAATTAAACAATCCTATCAGAATCACACATACATCATTCATTGAAGAAGAGAATATTTTTATTCAAAATTTACGGGACATATAGTGAGAGCAACAAAGAAAAGCTGCAAATAGTTTACTGACTTTTTCCTTTGTCTCCCGTATTCCTAGTTTAATTGCATAAAACTCTTCTAAATTACTTATTAAGAGCAGATGGAATATGATACCTAGCTGTGCAACTTTTGCCAATAATCCTTCAATCACTGTGTTTCAATTTGCATGAATAATGAACTGACTGTTCATGTTCAAATTAATATTTTGATTTGTTCTTATTTTATCCTGAAGCAAACTGTTAAAGGTGTGCTTTAGTATTATCTGTGTACTTACTAATCTCTTTTCAGTTGTTCCCACCACTCCTCTTAACACACACACAGAAGACAATGTTTTGATGTAATTTGCTGAGCTTTTTGACAGCAGGCACGTGCTCTTGGAGTACCTTTTGCTTGCAGGGCACAGGTGGTTATTTTCAAACTTCCTCTTGAACCTAATGATAACTGTGACAGCATCTGTGATGGTACCCAAGGCTTCAGTCTGAACTAACCATGTATGAAAAGTCCAAGGATCTTATTTACAAAGCATCAGTTAAAACTGTGACACTTTCTCAGCGTAGTCATAATGATTCAGTCCGTGTTTCATCTAACTTTGAGTTTTGTGTTTCAGTTTATTTTTATTCATGGACTGCTGAAAGGAAGTGACCTGTATATTCTGGACTTCTCTTTTTATTCAAAATTTTGTAAATAAATTTTCTAATTTGTCTAGAATTAAATTTCAAATAATAACACCTGTTACTGTTGCATAATGGTGAATAATTAAAAAAAATAATATAAAGACAGATTTGTATTTGGGCTTTTCTCTCTTTTTTTTTTTTTTTTTTTTTTTTTTTTTTAAAAATGACACTTGGGAGATGCTTTGCTGCCTATTTCCCTCAAAGTATTGGAATGGTTCAAAGTAAATTTGTTTGTTTACAGCTCTGTGGAGAAAGACTGTTCTTTTCCAGGTTTTAAGTTTTGAAGTGATTTTCATAATCTAGAATATGTTTGTTATTGTCCTGTCCTGTTTACATACTGACAGCACTTCTGGTGAAACAAGGCTCTAAGTTTCTTAAGAAAGGGTGCTGATTCCTGTTGGTTCCAATTTGCCTATTGCAGATTTGCCCCTGGAAATAAGCAGCAGGAAGCACAATAAGATGTTCATAAAGACTCAGGGCCACCAAACTTATCTGCCAGTTGTCTACAGTTGAGTAAAATATCTCACTCTCAATAATAACTTATCAAGACAACTATGTTTATTTGTAGTCTGTAGAAGGCCTAAAAAAATTAGATAGTAGTACACAGCTTGATGTCATACATGCTACTGGTGTAGTTTGCATTTGATGGTGCAATCCTACTTTTACAGCTCTTCCACTTTCTGAGCTAGAGGAAGTTTATCTGCCTGCATGGAAAAAAAAGTTGTGTGGCAGTTATTTTGTTGCAGATAACAAGCAAGAAGCTTTTTTCCCCCCGTTTCACATTCTGCAGCCAACATCACATAAACTTTACTTATATATGACCACATGATGGTCTCTTACAAAAATGTCAACCACTTTGTGTAAAAATTAAAAAAAAAAAAAAAAAAGAAATGGCAGAAGAAAGGTGCATGGAGGGAATAATGAGTCAGTACCAGTCCAAGTGGATATCAGAAGTCCCATTGAGGAGAAGCAATAGTAGAGGGATCGCAGCAGACAAAACTCGACTCATTCTTGCCACTGTCATTTCTGTTCAGTAGAAATATCATGGCTTTCTATATCCCCTGTGGTGATTGTGTCCTTTCTTATCTAGCCTGTTTTTTTCAGATTATTATTAAAAGTCTCCCTGAAATTGAACCATCTTCTGAGTTGAGCACCTGCTGCCAAAGCTCTTTTTGCTACTGCATCCATCAGGCTTTCCATTTCCTTGAAGCTGCTGCCCTCTTTCTCACAGCTCTGTGATCCCAGCCTCACTGCAGCATTAGCATCTAAGTAAAAACAGAGCAAAACTATTAATTTCTGAACTGTTATATTTGACAAACTCTCTTAAGAGTGGAAAAAACATTCTCTATTGCAGTGTGTAAGTTCTTTTGTCATGTTTTTAAGAGCGAACTGATTTTCAGGTAAAGCATGAAAGAAAACCACTAGCAAAAGTCTTTGGCGAGAATCACGGCCCAAATCTTGACTTTCTTTAGAAAAAATAGCAAAAGAATAGATATATACAGAAGGTATATGTTTCAGAGACATGCATTTCAACAGTTTTTCAGCCTTGTTTGGAGACTTATTAAAAGCATCAGGGTTATTGTGCACTTGTTGCAGAATCAGTATTTTAAGAGGAGTTACCATTTCATTTTATTTTGAATTTTGATTTTGGAAATGAAATATTAGTGGTTCTGTCAATCCACTTTGAATCGATGAGCAAAGAATATCCTTTACTTTTGAAAGACATGACTTGAATATCTGTGAAAACATTCTTAAAAGTGTTCTTTCAAGTGTGCTTTGAAATACTTTAGTGGTTCTAGCTATAAAAGACGTAATCTATGCAGTCAGAATACCTGAAGCATAGCAAGTAAAAAATACTAAGTCATTCTATCAGGGAGCTATAAGGTTCCCATTTGATAGAGAAAAATGAAAAATTCTTGCTTTGAGAACAGTTTTCTTTTTAGATTATCTTTTTCCCTCCCACTGTTCTAGGGTCTGGCATCCTGAAGCCAAGTGCCAGTCTTACAAAATGTTACATGCCTAAGTGTTGGTTTTAAATTGAAAAGATGTAGTGAGACCCTTAGATCATGCTGTATTCCTGATCATCTGACACACAGAGCTACAAATGCACAGGCTCCAGGATGTGGTCCTGCAGTGGGAGGATCAGAGATCCACTGCTGCTGTGAGCCAGGGCTGGCTGTGCTGCTTTTAACTGTTTCTTAGTGCTGTGACAAGAATAGCAGTGCTCCCATTCCATTCACAGCTTTCCATTTGGCAGTTTGGCATTCCAGAAACCATCTTGGTGATGTCTGTGTTGCTCTTTTCAACCCTTCTATCAAAATTTAATCTTTTCTTATTGCCATAGCATATGCCCATTCCCCAGGAAGAGCAAGTATGTCTATTCTCTGGAAGTCAGAGTTTCCTACACTTTAGAGCTTTGTGTCCTGCCAGGATATATTACATTAGAAAGGAGAAGTAGCAGAGAAATGAGTATCAGAGGTCATCCCATCATCTGACAGCATGAGGCAGAGCCTACTAGACACTTTGAAATGGCTGTTTTTGAGCCTGGATGCTGAAAGAGTTTATCTTCCCAAAAGCTCTTCTGGCTGACATGAACACATCTCTGTGAACTACGTTCTCAACAGTACATCTTAACCAAGAAGCCTTCAAAAAGCTTCCTTCTCACCCAAATGTCAGCCAGCAGTTTTCTGCTCAAGTGCTGATCTTGCTTCTGCCTGAAGTCAGGAATGTGTCCCATAAAATTTAGAGAGGATCAATTTCTCCTCCCATCTTAGAAACTAATAACATATCAAGTAAACTTTATACTTAAGTCTCAAAAGGAAAACTGAAGACAGTGATACTTTCTGGTAGTATGCATCTGAGATGCAAACCCAAGATATTTTCAGTAATTCATATCTTTATGTAGTCAAATGACTAAATTAGTTACTGTGAAACTACCAAGCAACTTACCGATACACAATAAAATGGTATCTCTGTTTTCTCTACACTATCACAGTAATTAATTTTTGTTGTTGATGATTATTCTTTCAGATTACATCTTCTGCATGTAATCTTACAATTTTTACAATTTCAAAGTGGTCCATCCTTTATCATAAAGTAGCTTCTGCACTGCATGTTTTTCTTTGACTGACCGATACTGGCTGCAGAGGAATTCAAGGGAAGAATTATAATGAAATGCTATATTTCATAAGTGAATAAGCAACTTTATAGTTAAATTATATCTTAGGAAGTATTTTAAAGAGCTGCTAGTCTTTCAAAGATATATGGAGAAAGCAAAAGAAAAGAGAAAGAAAAGAAAAATAGAGTTCACTCTACAGGAAAATAATTCTGAATAGATGTTTTACGTGCTCTTGCACTAGTAAAGAAGTTGATAAGAAATATATGATCTACTGCATTATGTCAAACTCCAGGCTAATATTTTTAAAAACCCTTAGGCTTTTTGTAAAATAATAACTGTAGATTGGTAAGCTCTCTCTAGTGAAAGAAGAATATTAACTATTCATTAAAAAATAAAATTGAAACATATGCAATACTCTTTTAATGCAGGCAGTGAAATTCATTTTTCATCCAAGTGCATTTATGCAAATATAGTTTGCATATTTAAGTCAAAAACATTATCTACCGTGCACTGAGCACATTTATTTTGCCGTGGTACTATTTCAACTCCGTCAGTGAGAGAAGAATGCTTTTCATCCTATTATCAACTTTTGCTATAATGTATCATATTAACTAAGGATGTATTTCCAGAGCAAAGAAAACCACAAGAAGAAATACTGAGTTTGAATGAATTCTGTTCCCACAAATGGTGCAAACAAATGTGCGTTCTCTGTTCGTGCATGGAATGCTTCATGTGGCACAGGGATGAATGCACTGAATGCATCAGCAATAGTGACCAGCAAGTCAATATCCCTTGTCTTTAAGCATTCAGACTTGATTGCTGTCCTTATGTTGTGACTATGTTCTTTAATTACTTCGGAGTTTTCTTCTTAAAGGCTGAAATCTAGGCAGCTGAAGGATTTTTGTGTCCAAAAAAAAAAAAAAAGAAACAGTCAGCTTTTAATAAGTTCAATCATTGATCAAATTCTGTCTTTTATTGCAGGTCAAAGATGTAATGAAAAACATCATGGCTGGACTGCAGCAGACAAACAGTGAAATGATTCTGCTGAGCTGGGTCCGCCAATCGACTCGCAATTACCCACAGGTCAACGTTATCAATTTCACCACTAGCTGGTCTGATGGATTGGCTTTCAATGCACTCCTCCACAGCCACAGGTAGGAAAAATAACTTTTAATTATTTTACTAAGCTTGTAACAAATGGCTGTAACAGGACTGGAGGATGGTGTGTCCATTATGTGGGGGGTTTAGCTGCTTCGTGTGTGGGAGGCTCAGCGCTCTTTTAAATGGCTGTTTGCTTTGAACTGGCTGCTGTGTTTTGTGTCATAATCAATCCTCTCGTGGAGGGACGGGGTCTGAGCTTTTGACGGCACAACCAAATATACTCAGTTCAGATCCTTTTCTGGAATTTCAGTGTGTATACCCAGTAGACAGGAGTACAGATTTGGAAACTTTTGAGAAGAACAAAGAATAGATCCAAAACTATGCCTTTGAGGTTGTCCTAGAGGGAGAAAGACATTTTCCTGGGGGGACTTGGAGGGGGAAAATGTGGTGTTTGTAGAAAGCCTCTCACAGATGCTGAATTGAAAGTATGGATTTACCTCACAAGGACACAGCTGGAGAAGGTAGCCTTTGTTTTCAAAACCTTTCATGTCATTCCACCAGCTGATTTGAGTTCTTAGCCTCTCTCAGAAGTTGTCTTCTACTCTGTGCGTGCTTTATAAAACTCTACCTTTAGAGATTCAGAGGTCTCTAGTGGTTCTGTGTACTTGGCTTAAGGAAGATGTGCAAATAAATCTATCTAAAAGGCCTAGTTCTTGCAGCTACAGCCTTTAAAGCAATATTTCTTTTTTTGTTTTGTTGCATTAAAGGCTTAAAATAAAATAAGGCAAAATACATCTAAAAGCATAGTGTGAGACAATACATGCCTTCCAACTTAAGCAGCAAAGAACTGCAGATATTTCTTTCCAGAAGTTTTGCCTGCTCTTTTAATTTTTCTAAATGAAACTGTCAGATGAAGTCTACTGCTGCTCCAGTTGAACAGCTGTGAGTCCATTTTTCACACAGTATATGCCTGGGAACCTTAGAATCATGAAATCATTAAGGTTGGAAAGGACCTCCATGATGATCAAGTCCAACCTTGAACGAAATACCACCATGTCCACTAAACCATATTGTGAAGTGCCACATCTACTTATTTTTTGAACACTTTCAGGACTCCACCACTTCCCTGGGAACCCTGTTCCTATGCTTAACCCCTCTCTCAGTGAAGAAACTTTTCCTAATACCCAACCTCACCTCCCGTGGTGCAACTGGAGGTCATTTGCCCTTGTCCTGTTGCTAGTTGCCCAGGGAGAAGAGGCCAGCATCCACCTTACCACAACCTCCTTTCAGGTAGTTGTAAAGAGCAATAAGGTCTCCTGAGCCTCCTTTTTTTTTCAGATTAAAAAACCCCAGTACCCTCAGCCACTCCACAGAGTACTTGAATAGATCAAACTGAATTAAGATGCAGGAAGTTTCAATTGCAAGCGTTGTTTGCTTGTAATGTTAGGAATGAGGCATTATCTTAAGGAAGAAATATACTCTAAAAGGACTTCGTGTATGCCTTTCAGCTGCATTCAGTATTTACAGTGTTAACAACTGGCCTTCCCACCATCCTGCTAGTTACTCCACAGTGTGGGCATGAATACCTTTTTGTCTTCCTAAAACATCAGTTATATACACCTTATTAAATGCAAAATGCAGTTTTTAACTCAAACACCAAGTTGCTTAAGTCATACAGGAACTTCGTGATGCAAAAAGGATTGAGTGATTCCTACTACTTTTGGTGGTACAGTGCTACCTCTGTTGCATTGGATAGAGCTGGGAAAATAAAAAATAGATACACCTCAAAGGGAAAATACTTACTTTCAAAAATGCCAAAAAATGGTTATGCTGAAATGATATTGGATAACTACTTATTACTGTAGACTCAAAGCTAAACCCAATAGCACTCTATGGCACTGTAACTATCTTGAATTCATCTTCAGCAAATCAGTGCAGCAGAAGGTCTAGAGATATTGTCTCTAAGTAGAGACAATATCAGACTGCCTCTTTCCTGATTAGGGTATCTGATACTCAGATATTCAGATTGTGTGCTCCACAAGACCATGTAATATCATCTGGTGTCTGAAATCAGTAATCAGAAATTCCTTTTTGTCCCTCTCTGTAGGAATAGCTTCAGAAGTCTGAACACGGGCACTTATTCAGGAGCAGTCTGTGGTTGGGGAAGGCAGTTGCCTGCCTAAACCATTGGGATTGTCTAGACAAATCTCTGTGTCTGCATGCCAAATTTTATGCACTGCCGTGTTCAGTTCAGTGCAAAGTTCACCAGTTGTGAACATTCATTTCCTGCTTACTAGAATTTATGCACTTTATTCAGGCTTTGTAATTCAGGGCTGCAAAACTTAAGCTCACTTTTACTCTTCTTCTGTCTGCTGCCATAAATCTTGCACAGCTTTCTGCACAGTGAGCCTATTTTCAATAGAAGTGAAAAAGAATTACTCCACAGAAGTCTTGTCTCTTGCCCAGTAGTTAGTACACTTATCTGGGAAAAGGCAAGTGTGCATTCAGATTCTTCTAGACTTTAATCACAGTGTTGCTCTGCAAAAGTTTCAGAGGAAGAGCTAATGTTCTCTGAAGCAGTGAGTCAGTAATTTTTAAGATGAACCGATGAATGTTTTGGTGACCTTGCACATTGTGTTCAGTGTGTGGAAACACTGAACTGTCCTTCAAGATTCAAGATGCAATCAGTTAAATAGTTACACAAAGACACTCAGAGAGTTCAGGAGCTCCTAACTCTATCTTATAAAAACAAACACAAAAAAACCCCTTCTCTAAGAAGCCTAATTCAGTCACTCTAAAATGCAGGCACATTACATACTTGTTGGGTGTCAGTCTTGGATTTAGAACCTAAAGAAGACACTTTGAACATAAACTGAAGAAAAGTTGTTCAACAGTGGTTTACATGAATTCGCAGAGAAACCTAGTGTCTTGCACATCCTGTACTTTAAAAATATAACATATATAGAATGACAAGCCCTCTGAAGACAAACACTTTTAAATATAACCCTTCCGTTTTCCCTATTTCTCTACTTCTCCTGTTCCACTTCACTCTTGTCCATTTCTTTGTTCTCCATGAAGTTTTGTCCAGATGTTCTCTTCTTTTTCCTTTCATCCTCTGATTTTATTCCTCTGTATTTAGTTAATTCACTGTTTCCATTATCTTTTTTCCTTCTTCATTACTGTCCCTTTCTACATTACCTTTCAGTAATTCTCTTTCTTCTAGGAATTTTTATATTGAAATGTCTCATGAATAAAACGAGGACTTGTTGCTCTAATTGTCAGAACAACTATATGTGTCTGTGTGGTTACTTAGATAATAACCTAGTATATATATATAAAATACTTTAGTGGAATTTTTCTTTGTTAAACATTTAAAACTTATGTTCATCGTTCCTGAAACCTAAAAGACTTCAATGATTTAATTGTAAAAATAGTCTTTACTGCAAATAATACCTTCTCCTTTTGAGATTGAAGTCTTTGAGTTTAGCCCTTCCTTTAGGTGTGTTTCAGAGGTAAGCCATAAGCCTTCTGCATTGGCCTCAGGCTCTAATTTACATCCATAGGCTTCATCACATCTAGATATTCTCATGATTGGAAGCAGAGTTATTCAGAAAAAAACACTACCTATAGTTTGAAAATCAAGTGTGATAATGAACTCATATGGTGCAGCTGGTGCTCATGTGCGTAGTTTTTGCCAATTGTAGCACTATTCCTAGACTGCTAAAAAAGACCAAAACCAAATCAAAAAACCCAATCAACCAAACAAAAAACTCCAAACAAACAAAAACCCAGAAAACAACCAGACACTCAAAGAATCTTGAAAAATGCTACCCAAAATTTTTTCCATAGTATTTAGTCTCTGAAAGTGAGGGTAGATTTCTTGGTGGCATTAAAGCAATTTATTTTTCAAACCAATCCCTTACCTTTAGGGATTATGATATTTTCATTTCTCTTACGTAATTTTTTCAGTGCTGAGCAGGTAGCTTTTTGTTTTGTTTTGGTTTTTTTTTAAAGAAGTTCAGGAAGTAACATGAAATTTGTATCTGGATGAATATTCTAAGCACCTCCTTAAAGGGATTGAAATAAAGTAAGAGACTGTCACGAAACACTAACCACATAGTACACTGTAAGAGCAGTACTCTCTGTGGGAAGCTTTCTCTCTGATAGGCTTTTAGCTCACCAATCCCTTGCTTTCAGCTGCCTGTTTTGTTTTGATCAGATATTTCTAATGCTCTTTCTCCATCATTTTATAAAGGGGTTACTTTAAGTAGATATTCCCATCTTTCTAATCACCATCTCTCTGCAGATATTTGGGCTCCTTAGCAATTGCTTTCAATACTGAGTGCAAGGAGCAATGGAGCACAGGTTACTTGGCACACCTTCAAGGGCACATCAGTGTGAGAATTTTCAGAATATAAACTTTCCATAATGTTCCTTGAATGGCATGTTCTGCATTGAACTGAATAAAAACTGACTCTGGAATGGCACTGTCGCCCTAAGAATATACAGAAACTAAAACATTTTGCTAAGAAAGAGAGGTCAGTCTTGCTACAGGTGAAACTCTCCCTACTTCAGGCTGGAGATCATAGAGAGATTTTCTCCTTTACCTCTTGTAATCTTTTTCCTCCCAGACAGGTATCAGAGAAAGCTTTATGTTTTTCCTCTAACTTTGCTGAGGCTTTTTATATTTTTTTCCCCTACCCCTTTAATCAGGATTTTGAAGTAGGAACAGTTGGCATTCATTAGCTTCCTCCTTGCTTCTTTAAAATGCTTGAACTCAGTCCAGGTGACTACCTTAGAAAATGAGCACTTTAGTGCAGCTGTTCCCGCTTCAGGGTGACAGAGTGAGGAGGGAAGGAAAATGGCATTAAGACGACACACTGGATAGAATTAAAAAAAATTGTCTTCAGTAAGTTACAGGAAAAGTAGAAGTAAAAGCAATGGTATGAAGAGGTATGACAATAATTTTATTTTAGCAAGTCACATGTTAGCTACTGGCTCCTGGTCGTGAAAGTACTCAAGACATATACAAAATCTTCTTGTGTACAAAAGT